GATGACACAACAGGGTAATTGAAAAGTAACTCCCTATATTATGTCCGGTGGACTCACTCCACTACCTATAATTTTTACAAGATGGGAGAGTCCGTCATACATAAAATAAGGAGTTACTTTTAAATCATCCTGTATATACAGGGTGATTAAAATATAACTACCTATTTTATGTATGAGTGACCATTCAGGACTTATGACCATGTGCCTTTTTTCTTTGGCGTTGGTTAAAGAAGAAAGTCTACGATACCAAACTAAGATTTTGGAAGAATTGAAGAACGAATACAAGTTATGTTTTAGAGTCTGTCTATATTTCTGAGATGAGGTATTATGTCCATTATTTACATTATTCGGACTATTGTCCTCATCTTAGTCGCCATATTTATTACAACGTTGTAGGCTCCGGCCTACTTCAGGTGGTTGGAATATCGAACTGAACCCTTTATTTCGCTCACTAGGGTTGACTGTTCTAGTTCCACGTGTCATGTTTGATGAATGTAATGGCACAGTGGATAAAGGCGTTGGTTAGATCCAGTGACAGGACCCAAAGAATGTGAGTTCAACACCTGGTTAAGGCCGTGGAGAACTTTCAAAGCGAAATTAACAGGAGATAACAGATAACTGACATCCATCAAACATGGCACGTGGAACTAGAACAGTCTACCCCAGTGAGGAAAATAAAGGGTTCAGTTCTACATTCCAACCACCTGAGGAAGGCTGGAGCGTACAGCGGCCGAAACGTTGTAATAAATATGGCGACAAAGATGAGGACATTAGTCCGAATAACGTAAATAAGTTATGTTTTCCATATCACAAAAGTTCCTGGTGAAATCAATTGACGTGATTCCTGGCGGCTAGAGAACATGGTAGCGAAATCTGGTGCCCATATCGTATTTTGAATAAGACCTCATGTTAAACGCTTTCTTTTCATAAATTTGTTCAAATTATAGTTAATAAATAAACTGTATTTTTAAAATAGGCAGTTCTTTTTTTTAATCAGTCTGTATTTACTCCTGTATTAATAAATAGTAATTGTGATACGATCCATAAAATCAAACTCTCAGCTATTCTCGAAATGGATCTTCAATCTGTTTTTAACTTGGGCAAAAAATGATTTGTTAATTTTAACGCCTCCACAGCTAGACTTCACGTTGCTTCTCCCCGTGAATAATCTATTTCTTATCGTTCTGATGTTAATCATCAGGAATAAAACTAATAGCACCTTCACGGATTCTCGTTTTCCGCTGACATGAATTGGGACGATTATATTAAATCAACTGCTAGGTCTTCTGTCAGGAAAGTTGGTTCAGCACAGACAATCTTACCCACAAGATTCCCTCTTGCAAATTTATAAGTCTACCATGCGTCCATGAATTGAGTATTGCTGTTACGTCAGATTTGGGGCTCCTGATATAGATCTGGAGAGATATATATTTCATCATCCAAAGACAGGTCTATATTGTTACCTCTACTAACATGGCAAGTCTCTCTTTTTCCGCTGACATGAATTGGAATGATTATTATTGAATCTCTGTCGAATATTAAATATTAATTTTCTTTTTGTTTCAATTTTATCTAAGATTACATTATTGATGACACATTCAATCCAAGGCATTCTCAACATCTTTCTGTAGAAACATATTACTTTTGCTTCATATCTATTCTTCGTCCGTGAGGATATTGTCCATCATCCACTGCTATATAAGAGTGTCAATATTACATAACAATTAAGTATATTATAATTTGATACCTCCACTTTGTATTTCGAATGTTAGGCTCTTCCTTTTGTTGACAACCATTCATTCTGACATCTTACAACTAATGTTTGGTCGTGTCTTGTTTTTATTTGCTACCTTTGGGAGAGGTCCTACATTTCCTTTCTGTGTCTGCTATAAACGTTTTGTATTCTACATATCTTATGTAGTCGAAATTGTGGCCGTCAATAATGAACCTGGTAGAACTTCTCATTCTCTCAGAATCAAATGACAAATAAATTTAAAAAAAATTTAAAATAGGATATTCCTACTGTACGAATACTTCAATTTTTTCATTGAAAGGTTTTCTGCTAGAAAATTTGGTTCACTGTGTCAGCACAGACAATCTTACCCACTGGACTCCATCTTGCAACTTTATAAGTCTACCATGCATCCCTGAATTGAGTTTTGCTGTTATGTTTGAGTTGGTGTTCCTGATATAGATCTGGATATATCCAAAGACTGGTCAATGTTACCTCTACTAATCTGGTACCTCGGCCTTATAATGCTTTGTTAGGAGCGAAAGGATTCAGGATAGAATCATATAAATTCTACATAAAGCAAAAACTGGATAAAGATTTTATGAACAGCCAGTCATTGACAGATGAAGGATTCAAGTGTATAAAATTAAAAATTGCTTTGGAAACGTTTATTGTTTATATTTAAGGAGTCCGAGCTGAGTAAGCTCAAATGGCTAATCTAAAATTCCTGATTAAGGATAAAATATGTACATTCAGTATAGAATGATCGAGCGATGTACACCTGACATTGTGTATGCATCAGTTTCTTGATAAAGAAGAAAGTAGATGCACATCAGTTGATACATCCAATGCCCTAATTAAAAAAAAAAATGTTGGAAAACGCGAGAAACATCTAACTCAGAGACAAAGAAGTGATGTGCATGAAAAGTAAATGTAGGCTTCACAAAAATATCTTTAGATCTAACGGGTCTGTTTTGATTAAGATCAAATGACTTGTTACGATCTTCTTGTTCATATGGCTTTCTACTTTAAAAAAAATGAAAATTGAATATTGCCTGTCGCCCATTTATTTTTCTGAATGGTTCAAATTATCAATCTCATTCTAGAGAATCTTTCTTTGGAAAAACTGACGTCAAATAATAATTTCATATCAACTTCTGTAAATATATGTTAAGCTGCAGTTTTATGTATTCCATGTTTTCATTGCAAATTGAAAACTAAGGAACCAATTAAAAATATAACATAAATGGTTAAAAATATATTAAAAACATGAGAAACTCCACAGAATGTTTCTGCTTTAAATTATTGCTCGAGAATAAAAGAAGTATTTGATTAGAAAATCGAAAATCTTTTGTAAATGCAATATACTATAAGAAAATTAAAGTATTCTGACAGTAGGAATATCCTATTTTAAAAGAGTAATTTATTTGTCATTTTATTTATATGGCCTTCATAAGGATATAAAATGAATTCAGTGGAGAAATAGAAAGGGGGCTAAGAAAAGAATGTCACATGCCACAGAACATATTCGACTATGACAGTGAGGTGATTCTAAGAGAATGAGAAGTTCTACCAAGGTTCATTATTGACGGCTACAATTTCAACTACATAAGATATGTAGAATACAAAACGTTGATAGCAGACACAGGAAGGAAATGTAGGACCTCTCTCAAAGGTAGCAAATGAAAAAAGTCACGACCAAACATCAGTTGTAAGATGTCGGGATGAATGGTTGTCAGCAAAAGGAAGAACCTAACATTCGAATTACAAATTGGAGATATCAAATTATAATATACTTAAATGTTATGTAATATTGACACTCCTATATAGCAGTGGATGATGGACAATATCCTCACGGACGAAGAATAGATATGAAGCAAAAACAATGTGTTTCTACTGAAGGATGTTGGGAATGCCATGGATTGAACGTGTGATCAATAACGAAGTCTTAGAAAAAAATGGAAACAAAAAGAATTTTTATATTTAATATTCGAAAGAGAGAGTTCAAATTTATAGGGCTCATAATGCCGAAAAGAGGGCTTAGAAAATTTACACTCCCGGGGTATAATGAAGACAAGAAGGACAGAGGAATGCCGCGGATAAACTGCCTAATATGCTACTGTAAATGGTCGGAAGAACGGATGAGGACAGATGGCAAAAAACGAAAACTTACTAAGAGCTTCAAAAGACAGGAAAGTATGGAGAGCCATAATCCCCCAATTCTGGAAGAGACACGGCACAAAGAGAAACAAATAGTAATGATGTAAACACAATATTTTGAAAAAAAATAGTCATCTTTAATTGCCAACAATTTTTAAAAATTCATATCATTCCTATAGAGAGATATTATGACAACAGTTCCGTTTGTGGAATATCAAGTGCTGAAATTCTTTAAATACATTACAAGTGGCACAAGTTTCAATCGATTGAAAGAAAATGGTGAAATCTACGTATGACTATATCAATAATGTCAATTCGCCTGATTTGCCTTCTAAACAATTCGATCGATCTATCGATCGCTAGTAAAATTGAAATGTATATGCTTGCTTTTTTGTGGGAGGGAAATTTGATGAGAAAGTCAGTAGCTATTAATCAATTTGGTGTTGAGACTTTATCTTATTTAGGACAAGCGAGATTCAAGTTAAAATAACTTGTGAAATCGAAACCAATTTATCAACTCTGCGCCATTAATAAAAATGAGACTAATTAGTTGAAAGTTTTGAACATCGATTGCCAAGCGGCTTGCTTTGAATGGACGTACAATTACGATAGTCTAAAGCCAACAACGTATTGTTTCTAAAGAAAGACAAAGATCGGAATTTAACAATGTCTGCTCTTTATTTCAGGAAAATAGGATATCCTAGCAAATCAAAAACCAGTGTAAGTCAATCACACACATAGTCCAAGAGATGCGTCCTATTTTCTTTTATCTGTTGGTCTGTCCAGTACCAGGAGTACACGCGATAGGTTGCTTAATTAAAAGATTGTGTGATGATTAATTGAGTTATTTTTGTCTAATTACAGATGTAAGGCATTACTGCCCCAGTCAATAAAATTATTGCGAAGAGTGTATGTTATAGAGCTGAAAAGGAATAAATTCCGTTATGGGTGTTTAATAGATATGTTGTTTTCACTTAACGTCTAACTAGCACTCGGAAAAGCATAGTCAGCTAAATGTAAAGACTCAAGAGATAGTATAAAATATAGAATAAACAGAAAATAGTTCACCTGTTATTTCGATTTCGATCCTTAGTCCTGTGTCTATTACCAGAATTCGGTCGGGAAGATGCGCCAGGACGAGGTGAGGGAGACAGACGGACGGGCAGATGCAACAGGACGGGGCGAGGGAGACAGACGGATGGGCAGATGCGCCAAGACGGGGCGAGGAAGAAAGACGGATGGGCAGATGCGCCAGGACGGGGCGAGGAAGAAAGACGAACGGGCAGATGCAGCAGGACGGGGCGAGGAAACAAACGGGCTGGCAGATGCGCCAGGACGGGCGAGGGTGACAGACGGACGGGCAGATGCGACAGTATAGGGAAATGGAGACAGAAGGACGGGTAGATGCGACAAGACGGTTCTAGGGAGACTGACAAACGGGCAGATACGCCAGGACGGGACGAGGGAAACAGACAGACGGGCAGATGCAGCAGGACGGGGCGAGGAAACAAACGGGCTGGCAGATGCGCCAGGACGGGGCGAGGGAGATAGACGGATGGGCAGATGTTACAGCATAGGGCAAGGTAGACAGACGGTCGGGCTGATACTCCAGGACGGGGATAGGGAGACAGACGGACGGGCATATGCGCCAGGACGGGGCGAAGGAGACAGACGGACGGGAAGATACTCCAGGGTAGAGCGAGAGAGACAGACGGACGGGCATATGCGCCAGGACGGCGCGAGGGAAACAGACGGACGTGCAGATGCATCAGGACGAGTCGAGGAAACAGACAGGCGGGCAGATGCGCCAGGACGGGGCGAGGAAGATAGACGGACGGGCAGATCCGACAGCAAGGTGGCGAGAGAGGCTTCCAAAGGTTTATATTTTATGGAATTGCTTTTTCTCTCTTCTAAATAGTTTTCTATAAAGGTGAGTACGATGAAATAAAACGTTACACTCTCCTCTGTTTGAAATGATGTAAATACGATATAGGATCTACATTTGAAGTTTGCAAGAAGCAGTGTAATCGAACCTAGCAAAACTTGTGAAATAGTTTTTGCATAATGTCCAGCTTTCTGATAACTTAAAAACACTTGTATAATATTATTATTTCAGTTTTAAACAGCATAACTTAAATGATTGATATTTTTAAAACCATTTCCCTCCAAGCAAGCCATTAAGTTCGAAAGAATTGTGGAATGTTAAAGGATATGAAAAAAAAACTATTAAGGAGAGAGAACAATAAAAGATAAAGAAATAAAGACAGAAGATAACAACACATATTGCATTTAAGCTATCAAAGTTAATTGGGAAGCAAGATCCCGGATGCGAGTTGCACAAATGTGAAGTGCGTCAGAAGAATCTTTTAGCATAGAACTTACGAAATTAAATATATATCAGTTTTCCTAACAAATTATCGTTTCTCTCTTTTTAAGGTAAATGGAACAAAGAAATATTTAAACAGAAACGTCAAACATAGATTCCATTTGAGAAAAATTAGAATCCAGGTATTTTCTACAACTACACCGTCGTACAAATTAAATGAAACAGTCACATTAGGCTCCTTCCTTCTCCCCCTGGAGTGACAGTGTGTAATCGATTTCTATTTTAGATCAGTTGATGCCATTTGCTGTGGTGTGGAGTAAATTGAATCTATTTTCGGGGTGTATGATGAAATTGTTTTGGCCTTGAAAATATTGCGTAATCGTGACTGCATCATATTTTTATCACGTCCAGACACTATTGTCTCGACTATCGATTAGTTGTCCTACGGGCATTGTCTGCGATGAAGGTTACTCCAAGGAAGCGCACGAAAATTGTAACGCTGCACAAACACACTGGCAAGCCCTACCAGTGAGCAAATCAAAGTAATATAAACTGGCACGGAAACTCGCTCGATTGAAATCCAATCGAAAATCTGTGGTCAGTCTGCAAGAAACGTCTCCGTTGAATAGACATACGATGTACTAACATGTGTACTGGGTCAGGTTTCATTGAAAAATTACGAAAAAATAAAATAATAATAGAATTATTCATTTTGTTTCAATTAATTTGCACAAGTGTGCGTGTATGTGTGTGAGTGTGTATATATATATATATATATATATATATATATATATATATATATATATATATATATGTATGTATGTATGTATGGCTATTTGGGATTGTTTGGGAGTACGTTAACGCTTTGACTAAGGACGTGTGTATAGGCCCCAACATCTAACTCAGCACGATCGAATAACACGGTTGATTTCTAAACCATTCCGTGATTATGAGGTTAAACTATGTCTCGGCACTTGCTTTTTTTGGGGACCTCATTTAAATACTGATGATGTATAATCAGATCTATGTACTTAAAGCTAAATTTTTCCTTGATAATATACGACCCAAATTGAATCTTGAATAAAATGAATATTTTAATATTTTATTCTATGCATCGTGAATCAATGTAATTAAACTAAATAATTCCTCGATCATTTTTATTTGATGAGCTGGGAATCAGTGGGTGTAAAAGTAAATGATTCTTTGATCTTTTATACGATGAATCGTGAATCAGACTGCTTAAAATTACCTACTTTCTTGATTATTTTAAAATATAAATTATGAATCAGTGTGATTATAACTGGATGATGCCGTGACCATTTTACAGAATTAATCAAGAATTAATGTGCCTAATACAAAATTCTTCCTTGATCATTTTTTGTGATGCATCGCGAATGTAGTTACTTAAAATAAAATAGTTTCTTCAAAGTTTTATACAGTTGAATCATGAATCAGGATGCTTAAAACTGAATGATTCATTGATTTTTTTATTCGATGCATCCGGAATCGATATGCCTTCGACCAAATATCTTGTTCACTTTTTATGTTGTTACATATTGAAGGACTTTAATGTTTTGATTTCACAACGTCTTTTTTTTATTGAATGCGAAACAATTTTCATGTGCTATTCTTTTTACCATTGGTGATTTTCTAAGCGGGGCTTAGATATGGCACAAGGCCGAACGTATGTGGGCTATCAGTAAGGATCAAACTCACTACTCAGTCGTAATTATTCTAACGAGACAAGTTTGCTAAACATTAGACAACACCGACGTGTTCAAAATTGTTTAAAGTGATTTACTAAACGTAGTTTAGACGTGGCATAAGATCAAACGTTTGGAGCACAAAGTTAGGATCAAACTCTTTATATAGTTGCAATTGATCTATCGAGTCAAGCTTGCTAACAATTACACCGTAGCTCTCGTAATTTTTGAGAAATTATGTTTTGATAATAGCTGAAGTATACATTGTAATTTCCTTTAAAATTCCTAATCGTGTATTCAATTTGCTAATCTGTTGTTAGTGTTAACTCATGTAAAGCCGTTTCGTAGCTGTTCTCTCACCAAATTGTATCTTGTAAATTTTTTTGTAAAGATACTTTTGCACACCTTGAATGTGAAGAACTTATCTATATATGTGATACGTATTAGAGTTATGAGGAATCTAAATCGAATCCTTGACAAATCATTTCTGTTCTATTAGCAAATATTTCATTTTAGTTTAACACTAGCAGCATGGCCCGGCGTTGCCCGTGCTTGATTAAAAATCGTATGTCTCATACAGCAATCGCTATCACTGGACTTAAAATATTTTTGCCCTTCTTTGGTTTTAAAGGTGTGCCCTTTGCCGTGCTGATGTTGCTACATGCCTTACTTCTTGCATATCTCACACTGCCAAATTTTTATAAGCTCTATACTAAACATTAAATCTGTTACGAAAAAAAAGGACTCATAACTGGAAAAACCGAATGAAAAAAGAATGTTAACAACAAATACTTTTTCACACCCAACCGAGTTCTGCGGAATCAGAATCAACGGTGAGTTTAAGCAAGCGAACGAGCCAATTGGAGTAAAGTGCCATGCAGATACAAATTTTTTCCACTTGTGACGAATGCAGCTATCGATATTTTTTGCATTCTAGCATGCTAGTTAACATTCGTGTCAGTCGGCTGTTGACTCTCACGCTGGCCAATAGAATCTTCCTGCCTATTCGTGGCAGCCAGCTATAGGCTCTCACTCTGGCCAGTAGAAAATGGCCACAAACTAAATGAAAACTGCCGTGGAAGCATGAAAAAATCAATTTTTTCCACTATCGATGGGAGTTGGGAAGTGCAAGGTCGGTCTTGGCATTCCCGCTAACTTGTAGCATGTGCATGTGAATTTTGGTGCAAATCCGTCGAAAATTGCGGCCGTGCATTCATTACACACACACATACACACACACACACACACGCACACACATCCAGCTTTTTATAGATAGAGATATGAAAGAAATCCTTGTTGTCCTCTTCCTGGCCTGCGTGTAGGTGTTAAGCCTTTTCATACAGCTCTGATATCATTGTCTTTGTTGATTAGGACACGTGAACATTTGACATGGATTAAGGATCCAAAAGGTACCTTTGTCTACGAATGTGACCTTCGTGAAGAGCGTATAATTACGGTTCACATTTTTTTGAAGGGATACATGAAATTACTGTACATAAATATCGAAGTTTAGGGGCGTATTTCGAATAATGGATTTTACTGGGGACTGTACCTACGCAGAATCAGTGAAGGAAAAGAGAGATTGTGGAATCATGCGAATGAAGAAATAAGCAATCCCCTGAAAACTATAAAAAATACTCGACAAGTGGAAAGGGCTGTGAGATGCATATTCTAATGCTGTGTATGTTACACATCTACAGCCAGATCAGGCTTTGCTATTCCAAATGTGAATGGAAAAAAGCCATCTCATTTGTAGATAATTGTCTATTACGGTTAGAATAAACCACACGCAATATATAACTGACAGTCCTTGCTTCCCTGTAGATTTTTCACATTTGCCTTTTTTTCTTTTGACAAACGTGAAAAAGTAAGTGAATTGAAAAGAATCCTTGCCTTTCCCGGCTAAAACTCTTAACACAGAAGTCACTCGTCAATTTTCTTTTCATCTGCATAAGGAAAATCTATGGATGTGCGTATAATGGATAATGGCACGAAATGAGAAATCGCGTACCAAGTTCGAATTCCAGTCGTACTCGCTACATTCACTTACGCGAAAATATCCTCGATCCTTTTTCCCAGCTACTGGGACCTACAGCCTTGATTGGCAACCAGTCTACCGTAAGGAAGAAACGGCAGAATACTGCAGAAATTCTACCTATGTAGTAACGAATGGCACAAGTGTATACCAATATAGCACTTAAGGGAAAACATTGGATAACATTCATAAATATTTCCCTTACTGGGATCAATATAAATAAATAAAAACCCGAAATGGTAACCCAATAGAAACCTTCATTTGATCAGACATGTTGCTATCCATTCAGCCACAGAAGAGCATCTGGTTAGTTCGAATTACTGCTTATATACACACACTTTCGACGATTTCTCTCGATCGATAATTTCTACTCATTAAACATATTTAACGTAAACAATGTTAAGATATGAAATGGATTAAGCCCGACAATTATTTAATATATTTTCTGTTTATTGGTTATTCTTACTTATTTAAGTAAATGCACTGTTTTTAATTAAACAGTATTAATTACATTTGCCGGCATGAATGTTCTAGAAATTACGTAGAAAATAAGCGCTCTCCGACAGACAGACAGACAGACACACACACACACACACACACACACACACACACACACATATATATATATATATATATATATATATATAAACATAAAAAATGTCTTAAGATAAGACATTTTTTGTGTCCATTTCATAATATGTGACATCATTTGTTTAATTTTGGATACGCATCGAACAGATATGAATGTATGAGAGAAAATCATGGAGAATTGTAGTTTAAAAATAGTAAAATGGAACTTGCTAACCGAAACGGTCCTCTGTGGCTCAATCGGTAAAAGCTCGTCAGGCTATGTGAGGGTTCCATATAGGATACTGGTACGTATTCCTGTCGGAGAACGCATATTTTCTATGAAAATTTATCGGACATTCAGGCCAGTAAATGTTGTTAATACTGCTTATTATAAACAGGCAGTTACTTTTTATCTTTATCTATAAAAGAACGTGTGTATATATATATATATATATATATATATATATATAATTTTTTTTCATAGGACGAAACGCGTAGGCTAAATTTTCATTTTGTCTGTTTTATATATATATATATATATATATATATACATAGAACTTGTTGGCTTCTTTTATTACGGAATAAGGATGCTTACTACTTTCATCTTCTTTGACACATCATCATCCAGTCTTCTGTATTTCCCAGGTATCTTTGACGGCCAATTGTTGTAGTTTTGTAGGACAGTTCTAGGTGAACTAATCCTCTGCCTCCTTCGGATCTGGGTGCATACAGACGATCAACATCAGTTTTGGTATGATGCATGCGGTAGCAAGTGAGAAACTTTCTCGTTTTGGCGTCCATTCGCTTAATGTCAGCTATGGTCCAATTAAGTATTCTAAAGCTGTATTGCACCCAAGTACAGCCAAGGTGTTTATGTGATATTCTGTTTTTCGATTCCAGCTCGGTATTTAGTACCAGAGGTGCACGCCTTTAGTACTCCTTTTCTTAACTTCTCCTTCATTTGGGGATGTTGTATACCACCTCCTTCGCTAATTCGTAGGTACTTATAGGCTTCATCTTTTTCCAGTTCCCTAATCTTTGTGACAACGTCTAAATCTTTTGAGGGTGTTTCTATAATTGTCCCTTTCTTTAATGTTACTTTTGCACATTTGTCTAAAGCGAAGTCCATGTGTATATCTTCACTGAAACATTTTACAATATTGATGAGGTCTTTCAATTCATTGTCGTTTTGGCAAATATTTTGAGATAATTCATGTAGAGTAGGTGATTGAATATTTTTAGCCTAGTTTGTAAACATAGCTACTGTTGTTTAGTTCATATGAAGTGGGATTAAGGATAAACAAAATAGAAGTGGTGAGTGGGAGTCTCCTTGAATGATTCTGCGTCAGATATTCAGACCGTTGAAGATGGTGGTCCCTCTGGTGTGATTTAGGTATAGTGTGGTTTTCCACATTCCCATGCTGTGTTTAAGGAAACTTACTACCGCAGGAGAAATTGTGTACGTTTCCAGTCTTAATGATCCAAGAGTCTGGCACACCATCAAAGGTTTTAATCCCTGCTGCGCTAAGAATTCTACATCGTCTCCTGCAATTTTCAAGAATCATTTTGTTTATCAGTAGTTGATCTTTTCAGCCATATGAACTTCTCCTGTATCCAGTAGAAGAATGTTGTTTGCTTCGAGAAAAGACTAAGTTCGGTTCGTCAGGACAGGCGTGATCAACTTATACGTGGTGGAGAGACATGTTATTGGCTTATAATTTTCCGGATCATCTGTTTCACTCGTTTTTGGTATGAGATATGTAATACCTTCCGGGATCCAATTTGGGTTTTCACTGGGATTATTTACAAGCGTTGATAGAATTTTCGCAAGGGCTTTATGGATTGATGAGAGATGACAGAACCAGAAATTGGGCACCTTGTCATTTCCTGGGGATTTCCATTTTGGGGATTTCGTTAGACCTTGCCTAACATTAACTATGGTTATATTTTCCCACTCTTGCATAGGTGTATCCAGCATTCGTTCTTCTTCACGTTGGATCCACTCTGCATTTGGTAGTATATTCCTTTGGGCTGCTCCAAATATTCTCCGAAAATGTCTGCACGTTGTCAGTGGATTTTCGACATGTATAGATGTTTTTTCCCAATTTCCCTGTATGATTTATTAAGGTCCGTTTGGAATATTTTATTTTGGCGATAGAACCTGCACCATTTCTTGTACCGTCTTGTTCTCTGTGCGTTTAAATGAAGTTTCTATTTCAGCATTCCCTTGATTGATGAAATTTCAATTAGGGATTTTATTTTATATTTCCGTTTGATCTTCTTGCAATTTGCGTGTGGAGACTGTTGGGTTTCTAGTGAGGCTCATCTAATATCGAAAGCTCACATCTGATTTCCTTGATTTCTCGCATCAGTTTTGCCTTTCAAGCTGACTCTCTATATCTGTTATTTTTTATTGTCTTGACCCCAAGATTCCCAGTAGCTGCTAAAGCTGTTGCGTATATGATGTTGTTAACTTCTGTCATATTTTCTGGTGGTTAATCTGTTAACAGTATTTCCAGAGCAGCGTTGTATATTTCCACAATGTGCTTATTGGACTTCGCCATATGAGTTTTTACGAGCTGGTCTCTGTTTGACAATTGTGTGAGGGTTACTCTACTGAGATCTTGAATCACGTGGGTTTTTGCTTCGGTAATTTCAGTTCTGTAGTTTTCAAGGAAATCCAACCTAATATAAATGGAGTCATTATCAGTGACATCGACTGGAGAACAGCAGTTTATGTCACATACTTCGATTTTATTTCCCGGGAGGTTATTTCGGATTTCATTTGATTTTGTTTTTACCTCATCCTCTGTCATATTACTTATTTCTACTTTCATCTCTTTTCAGTTTGTGTGATGGGTTATATTATTTTGTCTTATATCTAATTTTATTTTATCTATTTATGCATTTGAGAGTCTTTTGTTTCGCACAATGTTCCTGCGGACATTGGAAAGCATGTTTGCGTTGATGTTAGGTCTTATATCACTTCCTATCATAGTTCTCCATATTTGATATGTTTGATTCATGGTGTTCTTTGATGGGTTTTAGAGTGCAGTGATAAATGATGTGATGACTTGTTGATACTCTTCGCCAGATCATTTCGTTCGTTTTCTTTTTATTATTTGATTTGGCATTGAGTCACTTGGTCCAAAGTTGGGAATAGCCCGTGTTTGGTGACCTATAGTGTCGCTTCGTTTTTGGAAGACTTTGTTCCAGTAACAGATTTTTCGGCCCCAGACTGATTCCTCTCTGAGGTAGGCGGCCCTTGTCGACCCGGCTTTACGAGCGATCTGTTATGAGATTTTATTCGTATTCATTGAGATTCGTTGACCGCCAAGGGCTAATCATGTTCAAGTTAACAGCTCTACTCAATGAAGACCTCAAGAGAGTAAGTCCAACCAATTGGTACGGATGGAGAATAAATTCCCATATCCACAGTTAAAGAGTTCATATTGAGTATTGTATTAAGTAGGGTAGCATTTTCATATAGATATGGTTCTGACTATAATAAGTTTTAACTTAGTATAAGTCAGAGTGACGATTACCAGGTGGAATGTGAGACTTTATTAATGATGGTTTATTCCATTTTTAAAAAGAGTCAATCAATATGATCCCTACCCATGCGTATACACACACACACGCATTGTATATAAAGACATATTTACACACATAAATACATACATACATACATACCAACATATGTATATATACATGAACTTACAGGTATACATTAT